GAACAGGAGAACATGTCTAGCCATAAGGGGCGTCAAAGTTACCAAAATATTCCGGTGAAAGAGCGCTATGGAATGCCGGGAGCAGTCTTATTTTGCTCAGAATTTTTCGCTCTATCAGGCTATATGGTTTGGAAAATTTTCTCGCTAAAAACTGAGGACCTGGTTTTAAGCAGTCAGGTTTTCCAGAAGCTCCATTATCAGCTTTTCTCATGAATAGGCCGACATGCACCTAATCTGATAGAAAAATCTTCGGGCTATTCAAAACATTATTGAGATTGGTTCCAGCTTTTGCTAAAAGGTCAAAAACAAGGGAGTTCTTGTGATTATGACACATGGTACTGCTTAGATAACACCTAAAAGTTTCTTTTCAATATCTTTAATGACAGGCCCCACCTGTCTGGAATAAGCTCGTGAAATTCTCTATTGAATGGTATATCTATCGTAGTGGCTAGTTGAGAAACGTTGATCACAGGATCCTCATCGTGGAATAAGCCATCCAGTTTTCACGGGTTTCCAGATAGTATTTCTAATATCAAGGGATCCCAGGACACTTTTTTCACTATCATAAATATATATATACTTTGGTTACAGTAAATTCGACCTAGTTTTTTCTGAGAGCAACTCTGAGGTCTGTCGGGTGGCTAGACATGTTCTCCTGTTCATTCTGCATCTAACCATGTATGTGTCGATGGAATTCGAGTAGGGGCCGATTCCATCAAATAATCGCCCCCGTCCTTTAATAAAAGTTCTGTTCTGCGTGGTCAGTGAGGAAAGAGTATCGTGGTGATAACAGTGTGGTATCACGTTTCCGTACCCGAATCACGCAGAGGCTTAACTTCTGATTAGATTTATACTGTCCATGTTCAAAGAAAGGCGAACAAGGAGTGCCTACCAAATGCAAGCAACTCTTTCTAATTTGACCAATTTTATTATAGCACGTCTAATTAAGCTAAAACGTGAGAATAGAGAGCTCTATAAAAATAACTTGATGGTAAATCTGACCATCATGACTGAATCTGATAGGTATTCTCTATTTTGAGGACACTTTGGGCTGCGCTGATATTCTTGAAATACTTCCACCGCTCATACAGCCTTTTAAACCCGATTCCTTTGATAACGTCGATTTTGCATTAGTATTTTTCATGTTTTGCAAGAGAAAACTTAATGTTGAGAAGATCGCCAGATGTGGATTGCTGTGTATTTTTCTCTTTAGTGACGAAGGCTCACATATTCTCTTTTTCTTCTTACTTCTTTTCTTTGAAACGGCAATAGACACACTTTTTGCAGTCACTACCAGCTACTTCGACTTAGACACGGTCAATTCGATGAAAGTTTCTTTGTGCACCATCGCTTTTCTCTTACTGTTTCTAGACACTTCAGGTACGTAATCTTTTAGTCGATGCTATCGCGTATCTGTTTATAAAAACACACTAAACGATGGAAGCTAGAGATTTAAAGAATCCGATAAATGCTTGGAAATGCTTTGATTATACAGAGTATTAGCCAATAGTCATCCACAATAGTTGTAAGACTAACTTGTATCAAACATAACTAAAAAGAAGTAAATAAAATAAGAACAAACCGCAGCAGTTCCATACTAAGTCGAATCTACTATGTACATAAAAGGTTAAGGATTTTTCTGGCGCTGTTTTTCCGATAAGTATAAGTGCTCCACTTTCTTATTTGGATCTCGAAACTGATGCACGTACATCCAGTGTCGTCTCCACAAGTTCACAACTCATTCCCCATGTTCGATCGACTCTAAAAAATTGTATCTGAGAATTTTTTTATACAATATGGCTCATTTCATACAGAACTACGCACATACTTAACAGTTTGCTAACAGCTTTTTAAGTGGTTTGGCCACGCTCGTTTTTGGATATGTTGTAGAGCTTGTCGAGTTACTCATGAAATCCAAGTTTTAGGAATTTTGAAGCTTCTGTTCCGGTGATTCAGAATTTACAAAAATATTCTTTTGCTGGGCGTCCAGCAGCGTATTTTAAACAAAACCTTGCCGAATATGACATCTAAACAAAAGGTCAGATCAAGAAAGAGTAGGAGCAAAAAGTGCAGAATTCAAGACTGCAGATGGTATTGTGCCCCGACTTTCAAGTTTTTGTTCTAATCTTCTAAAGCCTTAAATTTAAGAAGTTAAAAATTTAAAATCTTAATTTTCACTTTATCTCGAAAACTTCCCATTAACGTATGAAATCAGGGCGCGAAACAACCCGCGGACTTCAGTTCTGCATCTTTTTGTTCCAACGCTTTCGATCAAATCTTCCATTTAGGCGTCATATTCGACAACGACAGGCGATCTAGCAAAATACAGCAATGACATTTTTCAATAGAAAAACTTCTCCGAACACTCCAGCAAGGTTATACTATAGAGAATTAAATTCTCTATCTATTCATGTGCGAAGCAGCTTGCCCAATCAGCAACCTAGACTTTATTCGGTATCAGAGGTGTCCAGAGACCTCGTTTTACCGACAAGTTGAGCTTGTATTACCTCCCTAATGGATATTTCTGCGTATTTTGTTCTTTCATTCACTTCCACAAATAACCCTTGGCCTAATGGCCATATTCGCACTGCGAAAAGGTTTTTAGGACCCGCAGTCGCGGCGTAGGAAAAAGTGTGCCATAGGAGACCTAATTATAAAGGGCGTCAAAACGTTGGAAGTTGCAACTTGCAAGTCCTGTATCTCCGCGTAGGAGTGATGAAAAAATCTGAAACTTGGGCTTATGATAGCCCGAACATTTGTCTAACTACTGATGTAATATGAGCTAGGGTCAGAGGTAGGTGATACTCCTTAAGTTATTAAGTGATCGGCTTGTGACAGCTTACGATTTTCCTAAAGGTAAGCTAGATTTCAGAAGGTGAAGGATTGATTAGCATGAAAAAACTGCTGCAGCTATATGTCATTACATAGCGTAAAAACTTAAACGTTTTGTCCCCGGTAATTCCATACGGTACCGAAATATAGTCGGAGACTCTGTTGAAACTAGAATAGATGATACGAGAATTGATGTTTATCTAGAAAACCACTCTTGAGGTTGATAAAATGGCTTAGAAAGACCGATCCAAGTGACTTAGCATCATTTTTTTTGGTGCGTGTAAATAAACAAAAAATTAAAGAAGAGAATTCAGAACCTGGTACGGGAAAATTTAGTTAACAGGCTCGAACTCATTTCGGTTTTCAGTGCGTGAATTGCTGGAACAGATCGTTTCACATCGCTTGTGTAGACACAGTGGGAGGCGAATCGATCGAAACTGCTCGTGATGAGAGAAAAAATCCTGAAATTAAACGTCGACCATCCATTCAGGAAGGCGCCATCTATAAATGATGGCATCCAGGAAGGAACAGAGATACATGTTAAACAAAATGTAGAAAAAAAACCTGACCGTGGCGAGTGCAAAAAAGTTACGTCATTTTTGTACTAGAGAAAATGGCTGTTTAGCGCATAGTTCCGAAACCTGCAGATTTCCTAAAATTCTATGGATTTCTTTGTCAACATCAATATTTAAAAGCAACAAAAAACATGCAACTACAGGAAACTTCTCCATTTCAGCACAAGAAACAGTAAATCGAGGCTCTGTTTCTGGAACACGATACAGCAATGTGCCTTATAAAGCAGGAAACAATCTTTCCACCTACGAAAAAGAGCGTTGCAAGCTTGATGTTTATATTCCGAGATCAGCTGGCACAGCACCGTTTCCAGTTGTCGTTTATTTTTATGGTGGGGGTTTGAACTCAGGTGATAAGAGCGAAGGGTGGGCAGACTGGAGCAATAATTTCGGATTCAAGTTCCTAGAAGCTGGCGTTTCTATGGTCATGGTAAATTATCGATTGAGTGGACAGCAAGGAACAAAGTGGCCACTGTATATTCAAGATGCTGCCGCATCTGTTGCTTGGGTGGCCAATAATATCGCTCAATATGGCGGCGATCCCAATAATATTTTTATCATGGGGTTCTCTGCAGGCGCTTATCTTACTCATATGCTGAGCATTGATCCAAAGTGGTATACAGCTATTAATTTTGATCGCAATCGAATAAAAGGATATGTAGCCATCAGCGGTCAGACTCGAGCACACGGAACGGTCGCTGCAGATCTTGGTATTCAGCAGAATCAGTTAATGAGCCTCCGTGCTGATGCAATGCCTCTCGGTCACGTCAAGAAAACGGAAAAACCGATCCATATTTTTGTTGGCGAGTATGAAGGTCAGACTATAACGGATAATTATGATTACTATAACCAACTGGCAAGCAAGGGCAGTACAAATCTTTTCATTTATACTAATCCCAAGAAAGATCATGGGGGTATGCGGGATGGTTTGGGTGATGCTAATAGTCCAACACGCACGAAAATCTTGGATTTCATTCGAATCTATTCAAGTACTGTGAATTTGTCGCCCAACATTGCCTACCGCAAACCAGTTACCGTTTCATCAAGTGAAAATACAGTAAACACAGGAGAGAAAGCAGTCGATGCCAACGGAAATACGCGCTGGTCAAGCGCTTATAGTGATACGCAGTGGATCTATGTGGATCTTGGGGCAACATATAACGTGAATCGTGTGAAGATCGCATGGGAAGCCGCTTGTGCAAAGAACTATTATTTGGAATCTTCTGGCGATGCAAAATCATGGACGAATGTACGAACGGTGACCAACAATGCAGCCCTTGTGAATGATCATACAGGTTTAAGCAGAAATGCACGTTACATCCGTATTTATGCCACACAAAGAGCGACCGCATACGGATACTCGATCTACGAATTTGAAGTGTATGGGACTTTAACGGGCTAAACTACGTAAAATTTTCCGAACACATAGATGTTGTTTTTCTGTTATTTATAGTAGAAATATACGGAAACTTTCAACATAAGACGTCCGCTTAAAACTTCAAATGGTCACTTAGCTAACAGGGGCAGTTTGACGCTGATGACGGTAAAATGATTGATAGTAGCTGCACCGCAATGTTTTTCACACGAGTCTCGCTTTGTTCTAAGAAAGTATCGAAATAAGTACAGTGAAACTTTCAAAGTGGTCACCTCTCTTGAATGAACGTATGCCTTCCTTCTTGACGCGAAGAAAACGACCTGTTGATGATGTTGAAGGTTGTACAGACTCAGCAGCAGTCTACTTCTCAACCTCAACTAACTGCAGTGTGAGTTCTAACATCCGTTCCAACAGAAGTTCTTTTACCTGCCAGTTATCAGAATTCTAATGGTTCTTTGCCTACACCGTACACACATTCTTCTCATTCGGATATTTTCGACATTCCAAATCCTTCCCACCGGATGAAGGAAATCCACAGAAAAACAGAGGAATTTTAGAAGAATGCCCATTGTGTCATCGCTCTAAAGAATATTTACATCTTCCTATTACAAAAAGTGATTCTAGTACGCAAACTGAGATTTTATCCCTTAATACATCTGCTAAAATCTCTGTCCAAGAATCAAAACTTGTTTCACAACGAAAGACTAGAAAGAAAGTTCCTGTTAAGTCGCAGAAACAGCACAGAAGATCACCATCTACTAATCAATCCATTTCTTCTCTTAGAACAGAAGTTGATCTTAAGTCTAAAAGAAAAATAAAACAAAAACCTAAGAAAAATCACCATCAGAAATCTTCTGCACCATCTTTATCATCTTCAAATAGTTCCTTAACAGGAAGTGACGCTACGCATTCAGATAAAAGTGAATTACTAAACGTCTACAAGAAAAGTAAAACTTTGAAAAATAAGAAACATCATCGAAAACAACATGCTTCTTCTTTCTCAAGTAGCGGTGATGATAATGATTCGTATTACGGTGGGAAAGAAATAACTTCAGAATCTCGAAGAAAAAGAAAATCAAAATAAAAGTTTTCTAATTCTTCTTCACGATCAGCTGTTCTCAATTCACCGGCAACTTTGCAAGTTACCATTAATGATTCAATTACTCGTTTCAGTGGTGTTGCGAATGAGCAGCCTGGTAAGTTCTTGCATGAGTACCAACAGAAAATGCGAACGTTATTTCGGGCTGGCGATTCACAATTACTGCGGAATATTAGTAATTGGCTCACAGGTGCAGCTAGTGACTGGTATTTACAGCTTTCCCAAGGTCATCATTTGCCGGATACGTGGCATGAGTTTAAAAAGTTTTACTTGTCTCGTTTTCGTAGTCCTGAAAGGATAGAGGCTTTGAAAATTGAACGTAGCCGTTGCGTTCAAAAGGAAAATGAAACAGCAGCTGATTTCTATCAAAGACATTTGGGACTAAATTTGGAAATTAATCGAAAAAACCAAAGAAAATTTACTAAAAAAATACTTTCTTCGAAAATTGAGACCGGAACTTGTTCTTTGGATGAAGGGTGATCCGGCAATGATGTCCTTGGACGAGATACTCAAAAAGATCGAAGAAGCTGAAATACAGTTATTGTATCGAAGAAAAGAAGAAATCCAGAGATATCTGCTTAATGAATGGATTTCTACGAATTCTGATTACGATAAGGATGAAGGAAATCCTCAGGAATTGACGACATCATTAACTCGGCAGCTGGTGCGATTGAAAACACCAGAGAGAACAGTTGTTGTTGCTAATCTTGACGCACCTTCTTCTCCATCAACAAACAGCGATAGAAATCGACCAGCTTTTCCTCAAAACCGGCAAACAAATTTTTATGAACGGAATAATAATAGCGGAGGTCAGAATAGTAACAATAACAGTCCTCGTCTGCCCTTTTATTCGAATAATTCTCCCAATTTTAATCGTTCAAATCCATCAGCGGCAAATCATAATAGAGAACCGCCGGGACCGTGTCCAATTTGTCGTAAAAACGGACATTGGAGAAGGAGATTTCGGTTCGTCGTTATCGCTTTTTGCTAATAATCAAAGTACAGTTGAGAGGCCAGACCCTTTGGCTGCCATCGTAGTTCGTTCTTTAGCTGAGAATACCGATCTTGCGCGTATTTCGCCAACCAATCCTCAGTTTTATTCACAAACGGCTGAGAAGCAATTTGAGTCGTTCAGTGATTCTACAGATATACCTGGTGAT